AATTTCTGAAGCAGATCTCTTCATGTCCAGTTTCATTTGTAATTAGAGTGTTGTTGTTCCTCTTTAATAGCTTCCTCGTTCTCGGTATCAATCCTCATTCGATGTTAGAAACTTCATCGAAGAATTCTTTTGATTTGGTTAGTTGTATCTCCGCGAGGGCAGTTTGTTCCGTTTTTTTCTGTCTAATTGTTTCCTTGAACTGCCTTGACACCTATTCTAAGTCACTAACTTCACTTAATTGAGGATACACGACACATAGTCTTATAGGAGGTGTTGTTAATACCCCAAAGTCTGCTTATATTTAATAAAAGCACTTTTGAAGACAACATCAAAAAACTTGTTTGCTACCAGAAAAAAGTGTCATTTCAAATCTCACTTTGAGCCCATAGGACCGTCCAGCAATCAGCATGGCCGCTGACACTGCAACAATTCGATATTTTTTAGATTGTGGATGTGGCATTTTTCGGCAGCATTGTACGAAAATCTCATAGTTGCCTATGATCTATTCATTTTACGATATTTATGAGGATACCTTATAGAACATGCCATACTAGAGAATTCAAAAATGATATAACATACCTGGGAGTCTATTTAAAATAGTAAGGACAGTTACTTTCGGTACCTACAACTGCAAGAGATACTATCTTGGAAATATATAAAAATAACTTAATTTCCAAATTTTTTAGGTATTGGCTGACTGTGCCTCCACCAGATCAATAAGTGTAAATTGTTCTAGTTATTGCCATTGATGAATTTACAAATTTTTAATATTGTTATTTGATATTTAAATATAATTTATATTTTATAATATTACTAAACTATATTATAAACTTGTTAATTTTTCAAAAAAACTTTCACAGGCTACTGTAATACTTTTTACAAAACTTCTGGATTCCTCCTGCGTTGTTTTTTGCTGAGTCGAAATTGCTGACGTTTCGTCAATCATCCTGTTGGCTCCTTCAGAGTTTGACCGAAACTCTCAGTTTAGGTGGTCTAGTTCAATCCGTTCAATATTCAAATGTTGCGGCTTTTAATTTTTCTGCGAAATTTGAAACCTTTATGAAAAAAATGTTACAGTTACAATAAATTGTTTGTTAAAAGGCACCAACGTGAAAAGTAAAGGTGCAGAGAAAACGACGTTAATTATTTCAAGTTAAAACGCCATTAGCGAAGTCGAAGAAAATGTATAGAAAATCAAAGAAAAAAAAACGAACGACCTTTTCAAATTAACAGCCGTTTATTTTCAATTCTCTTTAATGAGGCGAGATAATTCTGTTGTGAAACACAAGTAAACATTGTTTACTGTACTTGTGTATGCATAAAAACTTATCGTGTTCGTTCTTGAATGCGACGTTGTCGCTGCAATAAAATGCATCTGTTTCTAAGTCGGAATATTAATGCCGTCCTTTTGTTCACTAATAACAATCCATAGCACCTATAGTTTCCTTCAGAACAAACTCCAAAGACAATTCGGATGTATACGAAAGCAATTACAATTGCTTTGCTTGTGTTACAACGAGACACTGACTGACTTTACCACGAGCAATTTTTTCTGCACTTTTTTCTTAAATAAAGCTTTATAAGGAGTGGAAGTGGGGAAAAGATAAGTAGATATAAAATATTTAAATATAATGAACGGAAGGCTTCGGGACTGCTGATAATTGGCAACTTCATTGACATTTTCATAATAGCAAAATTAAGAAAAACAAATATATGGTCGCCTTTTATTACTAGCGATATAAACCAACATAAAAGTAAAAGGACCGTTTATTAGTGTTGCGAGTGGCGTAGCACTTCATAAAGAATTACACACCAATCTAACGTGCGGGAAGCGTCACTTTACCTTCAGTTTCGTTTCCTAAGGATCCGAGTCACTTCGGACATTTTACCGCACGGGTTTGGGAGCCATCGGATATTTTCGGAGATATTACCCCCATTTTGACGTTTGTCAGTTCTGAAGGTCATGTGAGTGAATGTATTGGTGTTTTTTTCGAAAATACACCCAAAAACTAAAGGTCGTAGAAAAAGGATAGTATGCAACACGTTCGGTAAACTTTTTAAGGCACTCGTTTATTAAACACTCGTTCCGCTCGTGTCAAATAAATTCTTGAGTTTACCGCACTTGTTGCATAATATACTATTTATTTCCTGTAAATCATTGTTTTTTTAAGAAGTTTTATGATTTAAGGAAAAAACTAGGTTTAATTTGTTAGCAATTTGTCTATTAATATCCAGTTATTATTATTCACATAAAATGATAAACCCATTTATTAATATATAGATTCCTTAGATACGCCATTCACATCGCAAGAGCTACAAGGGGCTATCAAACAGATGAAGGAGCATAAGGCAGCAGGTGTTGATGACCTAAGAACTGAGCAAATCAAACAGTTTGGACCAAAGACAAGAACATGGCTGCTCAATCTTATCAATAACTGTGTCGACACTATGCAAATTCCCAAAGAGTGGAGGAGAGCACGAGTGATAGCACTCCTGAAACCTGGGAAAGAGCCAAACAACTGCAAAAACTATAGGCCTGTCTCTCTACTATGTCATCTTTTCAAGTGCATGGAGAGGATGATATTCAACAGGATCTCTGAGAAAATCGATCAGTCCTTGATCGCGGAGCAGGCTGGCTTTAGACCTGGCAGATCATGCTGTGGGCAAATCCTCAACCTGACACAGCACATAGAGGATGGGTATGAGAGGGGCCAGGTGACAGGAGTTGCATTCATTGATTTAAGTGCAGCTTATGATACCATCAATCATAGAAAATTGACGCACAAAATATATAATCTCACTAAAGATTACAGGCTCACAAAGTTTATCGAATGCACTCTCCAGAATAGAAGATTCTATGTAACGTTGCAGGGGAAAAATAGCCGATGGAGACAACAGAAGAACGGCTTGGCACAGGGAAGCGTTCTTGCACCCTTATTATATAACATTTACACGAATGATCAGCCAAATAGTTCCAAGGTGAGACGTTTCATATATGCTGATGACACAGCGGTGGCTGTACAGGGGAAAACCTTTGGGAAGGTGGAGGAAGAGCTTAACCAGTACCTTGGAAACCTTGGTTTGTATTATGAACAGAATAACCTTAAACCCAATCCATCTAAGACTCAGGTGTGCGCTTTCCATCTTCGAAATAAAGAAGCCAACAGGAAATTGAAAATAAATTGGATGCAACAAGAACTTGAGCACTGTGACTGGCTTAAGTACCTTGGTGTCAAACTGGATCGAACGCTGTCATACAGAGCACACTGCCAGGATACGAAGATGAAGGTGGCTGCTAGAAACAACATTATACGCAAATTGACAAGTACAAGATGGGGGGCTAAACCTGGTGTCCTGCGAACCTCAGCTGCTGCACTCTGCCTCTCCACAGCAGAATACGCTGCCCCAGTTTGGGCAAATTCTGTACATTCCAGGCATGTTGACACTGCAGTTAATGAGACTGGGAGAATAATTTCAGGCTGCCTCAAACCTACGCCTGCTGAAAAGATTTTCCCAATTATAGGAATAGCGCCGCCACCCATCCGAAGAACTGTGGCGGCAGAAATAGAACGGAAAAAGCAAATCAGTGACCCAAGGCATCCTCTGTTTCACCACCAGCCAGTAGCAGCAAGGCTCAAGTCAAGGAGGAGTTTTATCCATTCAACAGTACCTCTCACTACCACACCTGAACAACGAAGGTTAAATCTATGGCAGGAGAAAGTGCAAAATCCGCTCTTAGATCTGAAAGAAAGTATAAGCTGTGGCGACGAACTCCCCTTCGCAACCTGGAAGTCTTTAAATCGGCTACGCACAGGAGTCACAAGATGCAAAACAAACCTGCTACGCTGGGGATACATTCAGGACAATGCTACCTGTGACTGCGGCTTGGAACAGAACTACAATCATCTGTTGCAGTGCGGGTTGCTTGGCACAAATTGCTCTCATGACGACCTCCTCAAATGCAACGACAAGGCCCTTCAGGTGGCCAAATTTTGGGAGCGAAATATTTAGAATAATACTTTTTTCATAATGGTGATCCTGGACACGGAAAAGAAAGAAAGAAATATATAGATAGCATTTAAATGCCGATTAATAGTTAATATGTACTAGTTAATAATTCTTTGGTAATTTTAAGTAATTTTTTAATCAACGCATGACGGATAACTCAACAAGTTTGCTGAATGCGTTAATTAAAATTGGTATTCACATTGTATAATTAACTTTAGGTCTCAGAAATAGATTGCATGGCGCCTTGCTTGAAACTTTTGGCAGTCCGTACAGGTTCTAGTGATGCAATTCCACAGAGTTTGGTTTCGAAATATGGCATTGGAAACTTGGACACACCATCGATTATATTACAGAACCTTGATAATTTGATGAAGAAATCAATATTATGATTGTTTAGACATTAAACGACGAATGAATGAACTAATATATTATATACCGGATTACACTCCAGTAAAAGTTGACGCTGACGATGGATGAAATTCATTTCCTTGGATTTTTTTTACCATGTTAATGTTCCAGTGGACTGCTTCTGCTTCTGTTTGGATATCCGCCATAATAAAATTTCTCCAAGACCAATATATCATTTAAAAATTTTCATTGTTTATTTAGTTAATCAGTCACTTTGAAGTTTCCAGACCCCACGTACAAAACATTCCGGTTAGAGTTGGCAACAACCCCTTTTGGATGATAAAACCTACTTGAAGATATTTAATGTAATACTGGCTTATATTATTTTTGAGAATCCTACTGAAAAGGATGTTTCAATACATGTATTTATCTTATTTTGATGCCCCATAAGATTACCATAGGAACAAACGTGTATTGCCCATTAATAATGCGACAAAAAATCACCCATCAATAAGGCCGAGCGGCTGAAAACATTTATATCCTTGGTATATCCTCCGCTGAAACGGAAGGAGCGAAGCGACTTGCTACTGCAGAATCTGCGGCTTGATGGAAGGGGCTGCAATAGTAACAGAATCGTCGGCAACAGTCAGACACTTTGCCAGTGTCGGACGTTCGACAACTGCGAACAGAGCAAAGCAGTAGTTCGGAATCAATCGAGACCCTCAATTCGATAGTGCGAATTTTTTAACGATTTTGGCGCGATTTGTGGTGATAACGCGATTTTAATTTTTGGTGGGTGATTTTTGTTGAACCGATTCTGTTTAGGGTTTGCCTGCGGTAGCCTGAGGTGTTGAAATATATTATTGTAAGTTGCACTTTTGTAAATTTTCGATTTTCTAATTGTTGTTCCCGGATGCCAATTTTACAATTTGTCCGCAATTTTGATAGTGTGGACAAACAATGAAACGATCGGTAAATTTTATCTCTAAGTTATTCTTGTAGACCCCTAATGAAATGCGGGAGTTTTGATTACTCGGGGCTTAAAACATAATTGCGTGACAACAATAAGGGTTCAGTGAACTACGGACCGTTATAATTATTATTAAACAATAATGCAAGATGTTTTATCTAAAGTTTATCCTTCATAGGTTATTAATAAAACCGAGAATGAAATATATATGTGTTTTGATTTGATTTTTTTGCGTCATTGTAGCATTGGTTTTCCTTCGCGAGGGTTTGTGACGCGCATTGAATAAATGCGCATTACAGCGACCTTAAATTACAAACGCTAATTAAAAGCGGTACTTTTGCAATATATTTCGTGTTAATAATTTAACATGTAATCAACGAAAAATTTGGGAGCATTAATTGTTTCTGTTAATAATTAAGCATTACCATAAAGTAATAATAATATTTTATTATAAAGATTTCATTCTGTTTTGTTTAGAAGAAAGTAACTGCATGTGCGTACCAAAATATACGGTGCACATACCAGAGAGATCCGTGATCAAGCATGCATAGTTTTAAAACTGAAAATGAAGTACGCTACGCTACGCGAGAGTTCGTATTTTTCAAAAATTGGTCCGTATTATGTTACGCATGTTGATAGATCATGATTTTGATAAATACAGGGTGGCCTAATTAAAATAAATTTTACACTGAGTTGATAAATGGAAAAGGTGATGATTCTAATCATTGTGAATCCGTTGATGCCTTTTACCTTTTTTAGGAAACGAACATTTGCTCCAAAATACTGCATCCGACTGTAGGACATTGGAAGGCAGCACTGATGGTTTTCTTTTTTGGCAAATAATTGAAAGGCTCCATTACTAAAGCGATTAAAATTAAAAATCAGTTTTTAAGAGTCGCAAAGAAATGTAAGATTTAAAATCCAATCAATCACTTCGTCATCAAAAAACATAAAAAATATTTCAAGCGGAGTTTTTCCAGAAAGCCTATTTTTTAGTTCCTCACATGATCTAAATTCATCGGATATAGGTGTATGAGTGTACTCAATCTGACCTTTCTTCCATTTGACAGTAGAAGCAAGCCTGTCCTTTGCAGAAAGCATACGTCTTCTTTTGAATTCTAGGGTCTCATCACCCAATGAGTCCCTTTTAGGTTTAGTAGTTGATGAATCACAGGACTGTTGAATGAAAGCTGAATCATTCGATGTATGTAACTCGAAAGTTACCTCTAATTCCTTTTGAGTCAAATACCTCGAAAATGCCATATTTTACAAACTGTAACGTTCACTACACAAGGCACAAACTAATTGTTGGATGTTTATTCTACATGCGCTGACTTGTCTAGACTTGCAATAATAAAGTTTTGTTTCACAGATAAAACCAGTGCATAAAGCATAATCAATATAGTATTTCCAATGTCTGTTTTCTACGATGTAATCTACATGCTATAGACTTATCAAAAATGGCAATACGAATCCAAAATATCTTTTTTACTATTTTGTATTTACTTGAAAATGTGATACAAATTTATGTACCGCTTTTGTTAACTTTTGAAGTCAAATATAAGATCTTTTTACACATAAATTAGCGATTTCTACGGTTTTGTGTCCCTTAGTAGTGATAATAATAAAATTTCTAAATGGATGTGTAAAAATATTTCCTTGATGTGACAAAAAAAATCATAAAATAGGTGGTGCATTAACGCACCACTGGGACAAAAAAGGGTTAAAAAAGGGAATAAATTAATATGTACATAAAGATATACATGGCATCCATGTTGATAGTTTAAATGTGTCAGTGTTTCGGACCATGCATTGATAGATCTATAATGCCCTTATGATCATTTATGTATTATATATTTCTTTTTTAGTGATTGGTGAGAAATTATTTTTATTGTTTGAATTTTAAATTTATAGTATTCCACTTAAATCACTTCTTAACAAGCAATAGGAGTTATATTTAAATATTTCACATAATTCTGTTGGTACTTTAAAAATATTACGAGTTGTAAATTAGACATAAAAGAGCCACAAAAGTACACCGCAATGGTAGATTGGTAAAACAACGTCGAGACCAACCGTAGACTACCAACTAGTTCTTCGGGTCGTTGACAATAAAATTTTGAATGAAGGGGTAAACAAAAATCTGATTGTTGTAACCACACAAGTAAAAATGAAAATATTAAAATAGAGAGTTTTTGTGGCTTCCTAAGATTACCATTAAAAATATACGATCATCATATTGTCCGTGTTTTTTGTTTTCCATGATTATCACGATTATGACTTCTGAATGTTTTTGCTTTATTTAGTTAACAAGCAGGAAATAAAACATTCTATGCCAACAAAATAGTTAAAGCAGGTTTAACCTCGACAATATCAATTTTTAATTTTACAATAAAAATTACAAGTTAAATTTGTTATTTAATATGATATTCAATTAGGTTCAGTTTGGTTTATTCAGCTTACATCTACTTAATACTATAGCCATCAATTAAAAAGCAAAAAACTAATATTAAATGTTAAACTTTTAAGTTTTATGCATTTTTATGTATTTTTGGAAATTAATTAATTTTTTCCGGTTGTCGTCTATCGTCATATGTCGCACTCTGTATATCGTTATATGAAAACAAATGTTCATCCGACTAAACTATTTTACTAGATTGGCGCCATATTGGTTACATTATCACAGATTATAAATTCAAATCGAAACGCACTAGATAAATAATTTGTTGTTTAGAATATTTTCGACTGTAAAATTATAAGCAATTGCGTAAGGTCAATGGAAATCCGTCGAATTATATCGACAGTTTCATTATTCTCGATGATTATTTAAACCTGGTTTGACGCTAATTATTTAGTTCCCAACCCATTTTTTTTTGTTATACATATATGCTTGTTCGCTGTGTACTTATTAATTAATATCATATTTTACACGATCGAACAAGCAAAGTGTATTTTCATCTCACCAGTGGAATAATCTGGAAAATTGTAACGCGCGTACTACCTCAAGTTAAAGCAAAATTTCTAGTTTTCGATTTTAATTGTTAGAACTACATCTACGAAAAATGAAAAAATAAACTCATCAATAAAAATTTACTGCAATAAATCTGTGGCTTTTGTTCTTTAGTGAGTAGTTTCAGTTAGTGTGATTTTCTTCTAAAACTACTTGTCAAACACAAATTTCGCAGAGGTAGTGTGTCAAACAACTTCTAGATTGTTTTTCGTGCTCGGTATTGGTTTTTGGCAACAAAAACACAATCACAATTTGCAATGATATATAGTTTTTTCGGAAATGTATATTGCAAATCCTTATAATTTTAATTTAATAAATTTCGTTGTAGAAGAAAATAGGAGAAAAAAAATTGACATTTAGTCATACAAGGTGGTCAAGAAAAGAATGGAAATTAAATCGAAAATACTGATCGACATTAAACTCAAATGACGTATTTTTATATTCAGTTAATGGTACGCGTTCAATTTTAATACTCAAGTAATCGGAAGCAAATTGTTTTAAAATTTTTATGTTTTGTGATAACGTAAAAGCGCCAATAACATTTGTTTGTTTAATTTGCCAAAATATTCAAAAACCGAAATAGGAAATTCTGTTGGGTAATAAATATGACACTATTAGAAAAATAGATCTATTAAATCCACCCAAATCATTAAAGGTTTTGCAAAGGAAAAATTGCCGACTTAACAACATTTTTTTATAATTACTTTTAGTATATACATGGGTACATAATACAGAACAAAATATTCTGCGACGATTCATTATATTCTATTTTAAAGCTATCAGAATGAGAATGACCCCAGATCATTGTAAGAATATGTCAATTGGTTCGAAATATCTCAAAATTTAGTCTACATTAAGGAACGTTTCATTCTCTAAGTAAAGTATATAAGTTCAAGCAATGAATAAGTGTTTCCTGAATTTGTAATTGCGAATTTTTTTGTCTACTTCATTGTTAATTGTCCTGAGGTCTTTCGTTAATAACGTATATGAAATTAATATTCCGTTATGTGCAATTATTAAAGGTAATTGAAAAATTCAACCAACTTGCCATCTACAGACAAAGATTTTCGAGAAAATTAATAATGCAAGATATTATAAGCAGCTTCTCCAAAGGAAGAAGAAGAATATTATAAAATACCATATATTTTTCAAGTGACTACGCTTTATCAATAAATTTAACTGGGTATGGTCCTTCTAAATTTTTAACAGGGGTATTGCCGTTAAACCTATTTTAAATAAATAACTGCTATATATCATTGTACAACTTTGCCAGACCTATAAGAATTCGTCGGTGGCAGGTTAGATATCCTGGCTGATATGCATATACGGTGAGTCATGGTACCAATTTCGTTAGGATCTAGTTTAAAATTCTATTTTATCTTCAGGATCCTGTCTTCAAGAAAAGATTTGGGAAATTTTTTGAAAGACAGGTCTTCCGAACATGTGGCGCAAACCAGAATGTATCCTTAATAACTAATATTAGCGCAAAATTCCTGCAATTAATTAACATTGTTACGAATAAAAAATCACCCGGACAGCGAAGCAGTAATTTAGCAATTTTGTAAGTGAATTACATGAAAGTAATCTAATAAAGGCTTGCAGAGACACACGCAATAATGTTAATTGCAGTTTAAATTAATTAAAAATGTCGCTCCAAGAGAACTATTTTAATTGGAGACAAACATGGGTTATCTGAAGGATAGTTTCAGAGGTAATGCAATTAATTGACTTCTACGGTTGCATAATAATTTCTCGTCTTGGTGTGTTTGTATTAAATTTAAGATTTTTAGTAGCAACATTATATTATATATTTTTTGTGGAGTTGTGGAATCCGCTGTAGTCTTTCACATATTGATGGTTGTTCCTCTATCGTCATACAGCGAGC